TCTAGTTAAATGAACTGGAATATGTCATACATCACATTTCTTATTATTTCTAAATGATATTTTTTCATGTAAAAATTGGGGTTATGAAATGAGGACCTTCCAACACAGTGCAGTTCCCCTACACAATGTTGTAGAGTTTATATATATATATATATATTCAATATTAATACATTTAGTTTATTGAATTGTTAAAAATCTTGAATGATGTTAAAACTCTTCAGCTGAATAGGTTTATTGTTATAGCTAGAAAGATTTCCAGAAGAAGTGGCTTTAAACACAGACGCCCACGCTTGCTCTGCCCACATACATGTTCTCATTTAATTGCCACATTTGCATTTCAGCTGCTGGAAAAGAAAGAAAGAAAAAAATGATTCATGTTGTGCTGAATAGGAGTGAAACTGTCGCTGGTCGGAATCAGAGGGCTCTTCCCTTGTTGTGACCACTTGGCTATTGATTAAAGCTGATTAAAGTACTCAGTACAGCACTTTAATCAAGAGTGAAACAAAAGGGCTGCTGGAACGATCACAATACTACTCATTGCTGTCTTTTATTTATTTGCACAAGTGCACAATGCAATAAGACTCTTTGCAAAAATGTGTCTCTCAGCTGTAAACTTCCAAAATTCATATGTACATAAAATACACTGCAGTGCAGTCCTGGTTAAAAGACTATTAGGGACAGTAAAATAACTTTCTATACTTTTTAAATAAGTTAAGATTACAACGGAAGAAAGCTTATGTGACACATCTTCTTCTGTAAATACTCAAAAGAAAAAGAAATTTGTCATGTGGTCTCTTATTTTTTCCATAGCTAAGTGCTAATTGTTAATTTAGGTTATGAATGTAAAAACTCATAATTAAAAATAGTTATATTCATAATGGGTATGAATAGAACCTGCACCTCAAATAGACCGAATATTTCTGCTCTTAAGGGAACACTCCACATTATTGAAAATAGGCTCATTTTACTACTCCCCTTAGCATTTTTCTTTTCATTCAGCCTATCCCAAGGGCTGGTGAGAGCACTTTCCGCCCAGCTTAGCATAAATAATTGAATCAGATTAGACCATTAGCATCTAAAGCAAATGATCACAAAGTTTTATGATTTTCCAATTGAAAGCTTGACTCTTCTGTAGTTAGATCATGTACTAAAAATGTCGTAAAATGAAAACTTGCTATCTTCTAGGTCGATATGGCCAGGAACTATACTCTCATTGTGGTGTAAGGAACTTTGGTGCTGTACCATAGCTGAAGCAAGCGCAATGATATTACGCAGTGTCTGAAAATAGTCCCTAGCACCAAGCCTTACAGTTGCACCAGCAGTTAGAATCTGCATAATATCATTGCGCCTGCTGAAGCCACAATGTAACTACATAATAGTTCAGCTTTAAATCGGAAAACTATTAGAACTCTTTATTTTTTAACTGTTTGAGTGAGATGGTAAGGGTCTAATCTGATTTAATGATTTATGCTAGGTTAAAAGCGCTCCCCCCAGACCCATAGATCGACTGAATGAGTTCAAAATAGTAAAACTCAACTGTTTAACTCAAGGGGAGTTGTAATAAAGTAGAGCTTTCCATTAAATATCTCTGATGGATCTGTAATAGAAAACTGATGATTATTAGTGTTTCTAGCACAGTTTTCATACAATACTTCCTGCTCCTCTGAGGATGTGTGTGTGTGTATATAAATAAAATTGATCTGTGAGTGCTATCATTCTGCCCATGGGCTTGTGTCTCCCTCAGCGTGACAACAAGTCTCCAACTGTGCCATGCTGGTGTGACATGGTTGGCATGGTTACCCCTCCCCCCAACCACACTCACCTGATTTTCTGTTCTTATGCTTTCTCTATATTTATTACATATATCTACATTAAAAACACAGATAAAACACACATCTTGACAGTTTCGCACATCTGATTTACTGTATCTAAGCTGCTGCTGCTGGATTACGCTGAACTCTGCATGGCATCGTTGTGAGAGATAATTTAGAGCTAATTTGGGCTAATTTAATTGTGTCTTGCTAATGAAAGAATAATGAATGGCCTCCACTGGTGGTAAATTTGGAGATAATATTGTATGTTAATAAGGAAGTAAGTAACTAATAGGGCTCAGCAAAAAATGATGGCTGTGGCCTGAGGACTGTGTGAGTGTTTTCTTTCCTTTTGAACTCATGAACAGCCCAGTATTGTGCAGCTCTTTTAAATATACGAAGGAGGAAAACATTGACGTTGTTTATGACATGTAATACAAGTTTATTTATCTCAGATATGACTGACAGTTCATTGTACTTAATAGAATAAAATAATGTGAGCTAAAGACTAATATTCACACAGGTACTGTGAATTAATGTTTATTTTGGATTAAAAGGTATAAAGATGCCATACATAAAAGAACAAGCAATAATGACACGTGGTTAAAACATTGTTACTCTTGTTTGTTTTTGCATTGCCGTCGGTTCCTGTCAGAGTTGGCACCATATTATCTTTTATTTTTAGTCTCTGAAAAGCATGAGTCAAACTGTGTCTTGTTTAAAAATAAATCTGTAGTAAAATGAAGAGAACAAAAGAACAATGTCTTACTGACGCCATCTGTAACACTTAATCATAATGTTATTCTTTTTTGCACCAAAGAATAATGTCTATCACATCTCCATCATTATAATATATATTTTTTATATTTCCGCATTTTAACAACCTGGTCTGTTTCTAGACTTTTTGGCACCCTATAGGCAAGATTACTATTGTTCACCCTCCACCCCAGGAGTCACCCATCTGAGAGCTGTCCCCAAATATGATTGAGAAGCCAACCTGTGTATTGTAAAAACAATGTTTTTTTGTTTAAGTAATTGCATACATAATTAAGCAACAGAAATGCAAATGGGGGAAATGTGTTAAAAGTTTAAAAACAATAAAACAATGATGTTGATTTATGTTTTATTTTGAGAACACAGTCAGTTGTGGAAGTAAGTTTGCTAGCAAGGCTATTTCGTTCACTTAAACATTAAAGTGATTATTTTTCTCTTTAATTCAGATGATGCCAGTGTATTTTTAGATGAGACCACGATGACAGCACTAAAAACATTACCTATGACATATTCTAACTACAGAACTATTGTGGCAGTAAACCTCTAAAGCACCATCCTTCCATACTAGACTTGCCGTTGCAAGCCCTGCACTGGCGTGCTGGTGTTAAATGGGAAGAAGAATTACACGTAGATGTACAATTTTGCTTGAATTATTTGTTAGTTTGAGTAGTGCTCTTTTAAAGCTCCTTTTAAACTTCAATTCATTACCTCCAAAATTACAATGCCAGTGACTTGTGACTCTAAATATCCTCCGAGGTGGTTATAAATATCGTCAACTTAGAATTATAAAGTTCTGTCTGACATTTTTTGTCAAAATTGAGTTATTGACATATTCTTATTAAATAACTTATTTACATTATGTAATTTTTTTATAAGTTTTTTACATTTTAAGACTTTTTATTTAAAAAGACAAAAAAGGTTTTATCTAAAAAGTCGAACTCTAGCTTGGCTGTATAAGGTTCTTTCTGTGAGCCAATCAGCAATTTAAATGTACGCACGAGGACCAATCAGAATCAGCTTTGTTTTTCATTTCACCGGACAGCTCCATTAACAGCGGGAAAGACCAGAAACACCAAATCAGAGTCGAATAAATAATGCTGCACCACATAAAGTTTAGAAGAAACCTGAAACTGAAAAGATGCGAGCAACTGTGAGGATTTAGAAGCATTTTTTGACGTTGAAATCAAATGTTAAAGTTTACATTGTTGAAAAAGAAACAGTTATTAAAATATGTAATATATTAAATGTGAAATATTTTGATTTGTGTATATATAGTCAGTGAAACATTTTGTTCATTAAACTTTTGTTCGTTTTCTTTTAGTCTTTAAATTTAAGCCTTTAAGGGCAAATACTTAATTTAAATCTTGGGGCATATAATTCCATAAATTTCATTCATTCATTCATTTTCTTGTCAGCTTAGTCCCTAAGTTACTAATCCGTGGTCGCCACAGCGGAATGAACCGCCAACTTATCCAGCAAGTTTTTACGCAGCGGATGCCCTTCCAGCCGCAACCCATCTCTGGGAAATTCAATAAATTTAATATAATAGTTTATATGAAGCATATAATTCAATAAATATTATCATATTGATTACATAAAATTAACATCTGTGCTGGACAAAATATTTAGCACAGTCTTGTAAGCTTAATTTGTTTAATTTGCTTAATTTTGTTAAAGTATAAAAAAATAATCATCCTAAAACATTACCTAAATGTTATAGAAAGCAACAATGTTACTTTATCAAACATCAACATATTGTTACAACACCAAATTCTATTTTTTCTATTAAATTAATAAGCAGATTGATTGTATTTCTTGAAAATTAATGCTTCAATTAATGATCTGCCAGACAGAACCTTATAATTCCAAGCAGAAAATGACTTTTTACTATTAGAAGGTTCTCTCTGCATTTGTAATTCCAAGGTGACGATATATAAAGCTTGCACACAACGGTGCACACATATTCTATTCATCGTTTAAATTTAAAGAATGCAGCTCAGAGATCATCCTCTATGTTTAGTTTTGGCCTGTTTTTATTTTTAATATACATGAGTGCTGTAAAGGTGTCAGAGTGCCATAAAATCAATCTGCTACATTTGCTGCTGCAAATCACCCCAGGGGTCACAAAATATTGGAAGGCTGATGTTTTTTTATTTGCTTTTTTATTGAACTACTTTTTTCTTCTGTAGGTTAATTCTACTAGTTTAATAAAATGAATTAGATTTTTGGAAATCACTAAGTGACCCCAGCTCATTGTCCCCCCTGAGGGTCTCGACACCCACTTTGGGAACCACTGCCCTAGATCGCTTAGCTTTCAAATGCCTAAAAAAGTCCTAACAAAGTTCAGACATGAGACTGATGTTGAGATGTATATTTCTGGTCTCATTTGCTTACCAATTCTTTTATCTGTTTCAGGTAATAGCCTTCGTCTCTCTGTTTTTCATCTTGGTGTCCATCACTAACTTCTGCCTAGAGACCCACGAGGCCTTTTTTGAGTTTCACAATCACACCGATACAAAATCAGCCACCAACAGCACCACCATCATCCAGGTTATGGATACCAAACCAGTGCTCACAGTGGTGGAGGGAATCTGCGTGGTGTGGTTTACCTTTGAGTTCCTGGTCCGCATCATATGTTGCCCAAACAAGCTCCTGTTCATTAAGAACCAGCTGAACATCATAGACTTTGTTGCCATTCTGCCCTTCTATCTGGAGAGGAGTTTGATTGGAAACACCTCCAAAGCTGCCAAGGATGTCCTGGGGTTTCTGCGCGTGGTCCGTTTTGTCCGAATCTTACGGATCTTTAAGCTCACGCGACACTTTGTGGGTCTCAGGGTTCTCGGGCACACCTTGAGAGCGAGCGTCAATGAGTTTTGCTTGCTCATCATCTTTCTTGCTCTCGGGGTGCTCATCTTCGCCACCATGATCTACTACGCCGAGCGTATCAGCGCAGATCCGGACGATCCTAGTGGCTGCAACCACACGCATTTCAAGAACATTCCCATCGGCTTCTGGTGGGCAGTGGTCACCATGACGACACTTGGTTATGGGGACATGGTTCCTAAGACGTGGCTCGGCATGATAGTGGGTGCGTTATGTGCTATAGCGGGCGTGCTTACTATCGCCATGCCGGTGCCTGTTATCGTTAACAATTTTGGTATGTACTACTCGCTGGCTATGGCCAAGCAAAAGCTGCCCAAGAAGAAGAAGAAGCACAACCCAAACCCAGGTATGGTGTTGGACTCTGGCTCATTTGGGAAGTCTGAAAGCAACTCGCCACGGAACAGCACACAGAGCGACACATGCCCACTCGCTGCGGAGGAAAACATCACAAGAAACCGCTCAGGTAAAACATGACGATTACAAGACAAGGGGGTTTCTCAGAGGCAAAAATCTATGAAATGATACTGTATAGTTGCCAGGATTATGAGGCCTGTTTTTCTCCTCTGAAAAACTACATACCATGTTAAATTGATGTGCAAAGTTCAACTGAGTCCTGTCTACAAAGTTTAAAGTAACTCTAAACTAGTGTTGAAATGAATGGAACATCTTCAGAAGGCCTAAGAGATCATTAACATAGAATCAGATTTAGTTTTATTGGAAGTGCTTCATTTGAAGTCACCATTAAGATCGGTTTGTCACGATAAGAAAACCCTGGAGGAAATATGAGAGTGGTACTGGCTAATTGTAACAACAACAACAACTAAATCATCCTACAGTGTAGTAGCCACTGACTGGGTTGTGATGTGAATGCTTTTGTTTAGAGTAGACCTTTATTCTACAGCATGAAATCCAGACGTGGTGTGACATCAGGAACGATTTTACAGACATGTTCAAATATTTAGAAGATTCAACAGTGCAAAAAAGATTTTCTTGCTTAGCATTTTTGTCTTGTTTCTAGTCCAAATATGTAGAAAAAAAGTTTTTTTTTCTTATAAAGTATTTTAAGATCATTTTGCTAACCCCCATGGCAGATTATTTAGCTTATTTTAAGGTAAAAAAATGATTAAAAAAAAATAAAAATTATTTTTTGATATTTGGACTAAGAAAAAAACAAAATATAATATGCATTATACTTTATTTATGTATGTCATCTACATCCTCTGCATTTATCTAAGGTTGTTGTGTTTGGTATTTTTTTGTTTCAGTTTCACTTCCTAGTTTCATTTTTCTTGTTAATAGCAGGTGCTCATCATTAATGCTCAGTTATTAATTAATTATTAATAATTATTTGCATGAACACTGCTTTAGTGTTCGTTCAATTCTACTCTAGTAAATTCTACTCAGTAGAATGGACTGAGATGTGGACTAAACTATTTGACACATTTTTCTTTCACCACTACTGAATTTTACCCAATTATGGTGACTTCTGATATCAATCAACATTATATTTATTGCAAACAGTGAAATTTGTTCTCTTTTGATGACTAACATTGTCATAATTACTGATGTTTTTCTTTTTTGCCTTTTGTTAGATTCAAAGCAGAATGGCGACGCTACCGTAACTCTTTCAGAAGAGGAGGGCTGCAGTCTGACCCAACCGCTCTCTCCTGGCGAGAGGTGGACCCTCCGATGTTCACGCAACAGAGACAAGACCATGAAGGATGCAACCTGCTTTCTTCTGAATTCTGGGGACTTTTCTTGTGGAGCTGAACCCACAATCCACACAGGTAAAGGTGAACTGTTGACTGCCGATGCTACTGATGGTAGTACATTTCCTATTACAAATGAAACCTTTTACATGATTATGTAAAAATGAAGGGAGAAATAAGTATTCAACATGTCACCCTTTTTCTTAGAAAACATATTTCTAAAGGTGCCATTGGCTTGAAATTTTTACCAGATGTTGGTAACAACCAAAGAAATCCATATATGTGAAGAAAACAAATCTAATTAGTTTACAAATTAGGTTATGCATAATAAATTGAAATGGTGAAGGGAAAAAGTATTGAACACACAGGCGTATAAAGGCAGTGAAAGCCCAGACTGCAGCTGACTGCATCTCTCAGTAGTTATTGAGTAATCCTCTGCCCTTCTTCATTATAAATTGTTGTTAGCTGCTTCAGTTCAACATTTACATTAGCAGGATGATGAAGATGAACCCAGAGTGGACATTTCAGCAAGACAATGATCCAAAACACAGTCATGGAAACTCTCAAACGCTTTCAGAGAAAGAAAATCAAACTGTAGAATGGCCCAGCCAATCACCTGACTCGAATCCAATAGATAATACAATATAAAGATCAGTTTGGATAGAACTCACAGAAGCCTCATGATTTTTACACTCTGTTGAAGTCTGTGAAAAGAATCATTCCCATTTTCTGCAGGCACTTTAAAAACACACTGAAGTATATTTAATAGGGGTAGGAAACTGCTGACTTTATAATTTAACAGACACTAGTTCACATCACAGTTGCATATGGTACCACAATGGTCGTAATCTTTATTTATTTATTTATTTGATCTTAAACAATTTATGATTCTGTCCATTTAAAAAAAATATTTTTAAACATTTTGTTTTCAGATTATTTTGATTGCGTGCTTTGCTAAAGCAGTGGCACAAAGCCTTTAAAATCTTTTGTGTTATTATGAGAGGATTAAAATATTTGGTGCTTTATGAAACTGTGGCAGTACCATATTGCATAATCAATTATGAGGTCTTGTAATTATTTGGATTAAACCTGCAAAATGACAGCTAATTGTACATTATCACACTTATTACCCAGGTTGTTACCAATAAAAATAAATAAATGTTTATGAAATGTGGATTTTAATCAAAATAATGTTATTGTAGAGTGCAATGTGGGAAATTAAGCTAGCAAAGGCTCTATGGAAGATCAATCCCTATTTTAAAGATGATTAAAAATAATTGACCACAAACCACAAGCGCCACGATAAACCAGAATTCTACAAAGTGCAGGCATTTTTCTCCAACTCATTATTCTGTAGCTGGCATTTCAAAAAACAGGCAAAACAGGATGATATCATTGCATAAAACAAGAAGTGCATCACGACAGACAAGGCATTTGACAAAGCCGACATCCTTCATTACTGGCTGCTGTCGAGACAGACTTCGTCTCAGCCTCACTGACTTCTGTCTCGGCCCCCCAAAATCCCCAAGGCTCTGACAGGTTGTCGGCGGTCTATTTTTGGAGATAATCGCTTGATCACGCGTTGCTTGAGCAAACATTCCACCTTTTTACCTCTGCCGTCTTCAGATGAAAGAGCAGGAGTCTTTTTTACCAGTGCTGCTAATGTAAAACACAAGCTTATTAGCACCTGTTGCTGAAGCGAGACTACTGATAGGTGCGACATTCATAACAGAACATTGAACTAGGATCAATTTGTTATATCATTCGATTTTGTGAGTTAGCATTCATTTGGGCTCAAAGAAGGAATATTTCCATAAATGCATAACTAAAAGTCTAAAGCCCTTTTCCCCTTTTGATGAGACATTCGGTTAACATGCATGTTTGTTTTGAGGATTCAGACTGAGGTTGTTGAAGTCTTACAGACATTCTGTGATGTTAATTTTTTCATTTGTGTAAAAGATTGTACACTTTCCATTGCTGATGCGGAGACTGATGCTCTCTGTGAATCAATGAGGGGCTGAGCGATAGCAGCTGTGGTCCTGTCAGAAAACACACACTGATTACGGTCAACAATTCTCTCACTAGACATAGCAAAGATGCTCCATCCTTGGAAATGTCATTGCTGATGTTAAAAATAAACGTGTGCGAATGGTCTGTAGGCCAGATACTCGTGCGTTTCTTCTGTTTGTTTGTTTGTTTATTGATGGTGTGAGATGAGTTTTTAGTGCCAGTCTCATAAGATAAAGGAAAGGAATTAAAAAAAATACAAAAAATTTACAAAAAATTACATTTCTAATAATATTTAGATAATTTAAATGTATTTTAAAAATAATTAAGATTTAATTTAAATTGAATTCATCATGATATATTTTTATTGAAAACAAGACCCCAAAATGTACATTTTCTGTATTAATTAATATTTGAATATCCAATCCTCAGCATATTTAGATACGTTTACTGTAAAATGTAATTTTGCCATGAAGACATACAGTCTCCTTGACTACTGGCTTTCCTCATGCAGTGCTGTGTCTTCCAAGCTGACTTCTTTCTTGATTTGTGTGTAATTATGTGGCAGGCCTGTCATCCAGCACTGAAAGGCATCATCTACATCAGTGCTGATGCTAGTTATGGATGTGCTTCTGGTCCCGAAAGGCAACTCTTTGTAATTGCTGCTAATAGGCTTCCATTAGCAGCATGGTGAGGCCTTACAGCTTTCCCAGAGCCTCTGAACTCATCATAGGGAATTGTAGAGCATTTTCAGCTTTACAAAGCCCTTTTTTTGGCTGTCATATGTCAGTTCAAGTCAAATACACTTATATTTCTTTAATTTATAAACTCAGTTATGATGGCTGTTCAAATAAGAGTAACATCAGATATAAAAGTATTTAATAGGCTTACATAGTAATAAAAAGGGGCAAAGTTGTTATTTTAGTTTTATTCCAGTAAAAAACATAAAAATATACTTAAAATAATGTAAACATCATTACATATTAGGCGTCAAATAAACATATTATCGGAATAAATATAATAATATTAAATATTAATAAAATGATCATATACACTTACCGGCCACTTTATTGGGTACACCACATATTTCTAATCAGCCAATCACATGGCAGCAACTCAAATGCATTTAGACATGTAGACATGGTCAAGGCGATCTGCTGCAGTTCAAACCGAGCATCAGAATGGGTATTTCAGGGTCTGAGTATTCCAGAAACTGCTGATCTACAAGGGGTTTCATACATAACCATCTCTAGGGTCTACAGAGAATGGTCAGAAAAAGAGAAAATATCCAGTGACTGGCAGTTCTGTGGACGCAAATGCCTTGATGATGCCAGAGGTCTTAGGAGAATGGCCTGACTGGTTCCAGCTGATAGAAAGGCAACAGTAACTCAAATAACCACTCGCTACAATCGAGGTATGCAGAAGAACATCTCTGAGCGCACAACAGGTTGAACCTTGAGGCGGATGGGTTACAGCAGCAAAAGACCACACTGGGTGCCACTCCTGTGAGCTAAGAACAGGAAACTAAGGCGACAATTCATACAGGCTCACCAAAATTGGACAATAGAAGATTGAAAAAAATGTTGCCTGGTCTGATGAGTCTCCATTTCTGCTGCAGCATTCGGATAGTAGGGTCCAAATTTGGCATCAACAACATGAAAGCATGGATCCATCCTGCCCTGTATCAACGGTTTAGGCTGGTGGTGTAATTTTTTTTGGCACACCTTGAGCCCATTAGTACCAATTAAGCATCGTGTCAACACCACAGCCTACATGAGTATTCTTGCTGACCATGTCCATCCCTTTATGACCCCAGTGTACCTATCTTCTGATGGCTAAGATAAGATAACGCATCATGTTATAAAGCGCAAATCATCTCAGACTTGAACATCTCAGTTCCCCTTCGGGGGGAACTTCAGCACTATAAGTGGATTTGATTGTAAAATCCACGCATTGGGAGGTTCGGTTCAGAAGCTACTCGTCTGAAAGAGTATTGAACGGGCCAATTAAGAATGAATTGGCAGCGCAAGCCTGCGCAGGTGAGCGGCATAAGCAATCAACTGAGTATATAAGCTCACCTGGCGCCAGCAGACGCTATCCTTTTCGCTTCAGAGACTTTCTGATCGAGTCGATGAGGGTTCCTCCTGCTGTGACCAGCGATTCTGAGCGAACGAGAGCATTCTCCCGGTCCAGAGTGTGTACACGCAGTGGCAGACGGTCGAGCTGGGTTTCTCCCTTGCCTGGCGTTCTTTGGGTCCGGTCCTCCAGAGCGGTGCGTATAAAGTTGCAAACTTCACAGAAAGAGCAACACAGTCGTGCAGCACGTCCTTATCAGGACGGCGCTCCGACTGTGCGTTTCTGGATGCGGTGGTTTCCTGTCCTCGGATGATGGGCGCGGGCACTGCGTTGCATGTCTGGGGGTCCAGCATGTTAATGCGCTGCTCGCGGGCAGTTCATGTCGTCATTGCGATGCCATGACTGTTGCGCAAGATCGCGGTTAGCCTTTGCAAAAGGGCGAACCACCCCAGTTGTCCCCTGCTCTGCAGCGGGCACTCGGGCAGATCTGAGGGTTTCAGCGAGAGATAATCCGTCGCCCACGGGCCCGCGGACCTCCCGCTCCTCTAAGCGCTCCATCCAAGCTTCGGGCGGGGGAAGCGATCCGTCTAACAGATGGTAGCCCTTACGCCCGATGACACCGGAGACCAGATGTCCACCGCGGCATCGGAGGGTGGGCTTTCATTGTCCGATGATGATCCAGACCCGCTCGCCCCCTTCGGGCTGGTGAGCGCTGTCACTACGGATCCTGAAACGGACATGTTAGCCGTGCTTTCCCGGGCTGCTTCGGCCGTGGGTTGGAGATGGTTTATCCCCCAGCTCCGCGGCCGGACCGACTAGAGGGGCGTTCCCTTCTTCCCGGAGGTTGCACAGTAGGCTCACGCGGTCTTGTAAAGCACTTTTTTCTGCTCGTGCTGCGTGTTCCTCCACCCTAACCACTCTTGACGGTGAAACAGCCAGGGGGTATGTGGCGATTCCTCAGGTTGAGTGCGCGATGGCGGTAAATCCGCGCGGCGCCTCTTCTTGGCGGAGTCCGCCTCGTCTCCCATCCAAAGCCTGTAAGTTATCTACCTCCCTCGGAGCTAGAGCTTACATAGCTGCGGGCCAGGCTGCTTCCGCCTTGCATGCGATAGCCACCTACCAGCGCTACCAAGCGCAGGCGCTGGCCGAGCTGCACGAGGGTGGGTCCAACCCAGGCTTACGAGCTTCGCACCGCCGCCGACTTAGCTCTTCGGACTACTGAGTCCGCTGCGTGTGCGTTGGGGAGGACGATGTCCACATTAGTGGTCCAGGAGCGCCACCCCTGGCTGATATGCGCAAAGTCGACAAAGTCCGCTTTCTTGACTTCCCCATATCCCCAGCCAGGTTCGGCGACACTGTCTGTGAATTCACCCAGGAATTCAAGGCGGTGAGAGAGCAGTTGGTGGGTGATGTCTTATCGGCGGTCCGTAGCCCGCTCCGCCCGCCGTGCCATTCATACCTGCTCCTCGCCGAAGGCGCCCGCCTACGAGAGCTGCTCCGCCCCCGCACACGCCTCTGGCGAAGCGAGCGCGTCGGGCGTTTTGAACCGCTGCCTGCACAAGCTGCCGTTCAGAATGCTCACGCAGAAGCGCATCCTCCGGTGCGTTCGTCCTCTGGGTTGGTCTGCAGCATTAGACCTGAAGGACGCGTATTTCCATGTCTCCACTCTTCCTCGCCACCGACAGTTCTGCGGTTTGCGTTTGAAGGTCGAGCTTGGCAATACAAAGCCCTCCCCTCCGGGCTCTCTCTGTCTCCGCGGGTCCTCACCAAGCCCGCGGAGGGTGCCTCAGCGCCCCTTCGGCTCGCGGGCATCTGCATACTCAATTTCTTTACGACTGGCTGAATTTTGCCCTCTCTTGATTATGCACAGAGTTGATTATGCACAGAGACAAAGTGCTCTGGCACTTCCACCTGTGGGGGTTTCAGGTCAACCGAGAAAAGAGCAAACTCGCCCCCGTGCAGAGGATCTCTTCTCTCGGGCTGGAGCTGGACTCGGTCACCATGGCAGCGCGCCTCTCCGGAGAGCGCGCTCAGCTGATGCTGTACTGTCTGAGAGAGCTCGACAGTAAAATAGTGGTCCCACTGAAACTATTTCAGAGGCTCCTGGGGCATATGGCATCCGCAGCCGCTTCATGCCGCTCGGATTATTCTATATGAGACCACTTCAGCACTGGCTTCACGATCGAGTCCCCAGACGCGCATGGCACGCGCGCGCACACCGAGTCTCTGTTACTGCGCTGTGTCGCCGCGCCCTCAGCCCTTGGAGCGACCCCTCGTTCCTACAGACCTGGGTGTCTCTAGAACAGGCGTCCAGTCTTGTTGTCGTTTCAGCAGACGCTTCCAACACGGGCTGGGGGGCTGTGCGTTGCGGGCATGCGGCTGCGGACCTGTGGAAAGGTACCCAGTTGCATTGGCATATCGCCTGGAGCTGTTGGCAGTGTTCCTCGCTCTCCACCGTTTTTTTCCGGTGTTGGAGCGGCAACACGTGCTGGTCAGGACGGACAGTACGGCGGCGGTGGCGTATATCAGCCGTATAGGGGGTATGCGCTCTCGCCGCATGTCTCAGCTCGCCCGCCGTCTGCTCCTCTGGAGTCATCCGCGGCTGAAATCGCTGCACGCCATTCATATTCAGGCAAGCTCAACCGTGCAGCCGATGCGCTCTCACGGCAGCCTTGCGTCCTGGAGAATGGAGACTCCACCCCGAGTCTGTTCAGCTGATATGGGCGCGATTCGGGGAAGCCCAGATCGATCTGTTGCTTCCCCCGAGATCGCTCATTGCCAGTTGTTCTTTCCCTGACCGAGTGCTCTCGGCACGGATGCACTGGCTTACAGCTGGCCTCGGGGCACGCGCAATACGCGTTTCCCCCAGTGAGCCTGCTCGCGCAGTTACTGTGCAAGGTCAGGGAGGACGAGGAACAGTTTGCTGGTTGCGCCCCTCTGGCTCAACCGGACCTGGATGTCAGAGCTCTCCCTCGCGATAGCCCTCCCCTGGCAGTCCCTTCGAGAGAGCACCTACTCTCTCAGGGACAGGGCACCACCTGGCACCCTCGCCGATCTTTGAAGAGATTTTTAGACGCGAGGAAGACTTAGGTAACCTCCGATTGCGGTGGCTAATACCGTCACTCGGGCTAGAGCCCCCTCCCCGAGCGCGCCTATGCCCTGACGTGAAGTCTATTCACTGAATGGTGTGTCTCTCGCTGAGAAGACCCCCGTAATTTGCCAGATCAGCGTTGTGCTTTCTTTACGCCGAGAGAAGTTGGAGAGCAGGCTGTCGCCCTCCACACTCAAGGTTACGTGGCTGCCATCTCCGCTCTTATAACGCGGTGGCTGGCAGCACCGTGGGAACGCATAACCTCATCATCCGGTTCCTCAGGGGCGTTAAGCGAATTAATCCACCCCGCCCCCTCTCATGCCCTCTTAGGATCTCGCCCTCGCTACACAAGCCGCGTCAGATCCCTTCGATCCTCGGCTCAGTATTTTTCTGTCCCTGAAGACAGTTCTGCTGGTCGCGTTGATATCGATTAGAGGGTCGGGGACCCGGAGGCATTTTTCGGTCAGTGACTCGTGCCTGTAATTGGGCTGGCTTCTCTCACGTCCTGAGACCCCGCCCGCGATATGTGCCCAAGGTTCCTACCACTCCGTTTTAATACGAGGTAGTGAGCCTGCAAGCGCTGCCCTCGGAGGAGGCAGACCCAGCCCTTCTTATTGTCCAGTTCGCGTTTTGCGTATTATCCGGACCGCACTCAGAGTTTAGATCATCTGAGCAGCTCTTCGTCTGTTATAGCGGTCGGCAGCAGGGAAGTGCCGTACCGAAATAAGTTCCCACTAGATTGTGGATGCCTTTCTTTCACTATCAGAGCCGAGATGAGCCGCGTCCCCAGAGAGCGCGTGCGCACTCCACTCGAAGCTTCGCATCCTCTCGAGCGCGCGCACGCGGCGCCCCTCTAACAGACATCTGTAGAGCTGCGGGCTGGGTAACACCCAACACATTTGCAAGGTTTTACAATCTGCGAGTGGAGCCGGTTTCCTCAAGGGTATTAGGTAACCCTTGGTGATTGAGGAAACAATTCGGTAGGGTGTTGAAACACGCTTGCTGCGCCATTTTCCCTAACACGGAGATACGTGCGCCTTTTTATCTGTCAGTAAAGTTCCCCGTCAGGTGAGCCCTGCAGATTCCTCCGTGGCCCCCAGCACTGACTCAGCGGAGGAGTCACTTGCTGGCCCACTACGTTGTAGGTCTGCCCGCTGGTCAGCCCGCGTTTTGGGTAAAGGTGCCTGCTATGCGTGGTCCCCACTAGGCGATCCCATATGCTTATTCAGCCACGGTTAAGTCCCCCCCCCCTGGGCGGACCCGTGTCTTCCCTCCCCGCTAACCACTCTTTTGCTATGCGTACTCCCCCTTTTTAGGGCTAGTCCATATGTAAATTCTGCCATCTATCCCCCCTTGGGTAACGGATGGCCTCCGCAGCGTCCTCCCTATCGGGATTGCACGCTTCCCAACGTACTGTCGTATTTTCCTAGAATTATCTAGATGCTCACGACTTCCCAAAAAATATATATAAATCCGTAAAACTTCTGTTGAAGTAGGATAAATTAGGGCCAGGGACACGTTGGAGGACCGCGCCCCCCATGATGTGGGTGCGTCACGCTTGCTTGACTATCTCCTCATCGGGGGTGTTGGTAAGGTGCAGTCATTGTGGCGCTTTCAATGGGCTCCCAATGCGTGGATTTTACAATCAAATCCACTTATAGTGCTGAAGTTCCCCCCGAAGGGGAACGTTCGAGGTTACTAAAGTAACCCTTCGTTCCCCGAGGAGGGGAACGGAAGCACTATACTCCGTCGCCATAATGACTGTCCCTTAGCTGTTGAAAGTCTCTTCAGCTTAAAAAGGATAGCGTCTGCTGGCGCCAGGTGAGCTTATATACTCAGTTGATTGCTTATGCCGCTCACCTGCGCAGGCTTGCGCTGCCAATTCATTCTTAATTGGCCCGTTCAATACTCTTTCAGACGAGTAGCTTCTGAACCGAACCTCCCAATGCGTGGATTTTACAATCAAATCCACTTATAGTGCTTCCGTTCCCCTCCTCGGGGAACGAAGGGTTACTTTAGTAACCTCGAACGTTTCTTGAACATGACAATGAGTTCACTGTACTCAAATGGTCTCCACAGTCACCAGATCTCAGTTAAATAAAGCACCTTTCAAAGCAAAAATGGGTTCAACCCGGTACTAGTAAGGTGTACCTAATAAAATGGCCAGTGAGTGTATTTATATTAGGTATTAATATTGGGCTATTTTTTGTCCATCAGTAATTGATTAGTTGAGTAGTAAACGCATTGTCAGAAAAAAAAAATTAAATAGGGAGAAGAAATAATTTTGTTTAAACATTCCCATCGCCACAAATCATTTAGAAAATGAGTGAAAAATCAGACTGTATTTACTGTAAGTATGGTCTATTTATTTGGTTCACAGGATTTCTTCCTCTGTGTTCTGTATGTTTCAGAGAGCTGTAAAGATGCGCTCACTTCTCCAGCAAACTACACTCAAGCAGAAGTGACCACGCTGACCTGAGACCGTTTGTGCTGATAGTGACTCGTCTGAGGTTCATTTCACCAATCATTCATTTTCCCATCACTCATGCATCACCTGTCACGGTCAACAATGCAGAACATTTCTAGTCAAACCATCACGCTCTTCTCTTCTGTCCATTTTCAAGCTGCCAGGCATGTATTTGCATGCTAGAGTGTAAGAACTTTTGGTCAAAAATGAACTGTAATGTATTTCTAAATGCAATCCTAGTAACTGTCAAAACAGCTATATTTAGTTTTTTGAACGAACAAACTTACTGTAATTAAGATAACTGTGGTATCTTTATTTTCTATCACTAAGCCAGCAACCTTTCTGTTTTTATATACAATATTCTCAAATAAACTGATAGGATTGTTTATCCAAATGTGTGACTGATACAAATTCTAGATATTCTAATATTTGGGGTTGGGAAGATTTTAAAAAATGTATTTTAAAGAAAGTCTGTTATACTCACTGAGACAAATAAATAGTAATATTATTAGAATTCAAACAAACTGTTTTCTGTTGAAGGGACATTCTACCAGAAACATACATTATCTGTCCCTAAAATAAAACATTAATACAGTGAATAAAAAATATTTCATCTCACAAAGTTTCTAAAATGGACTGATGGCTGATTTCTGTGAGTTGTTCTGTAAAGGAGCATGTCATTCATTTGGTTCTTAGATTTTGTTCTGTATTAAATACATTACAAATGTACAAACTCTGTCATTGACCTTGTTCTCAGCACAAATAAACCTAGAGCTTTATTAGTTTTGTTACGCTAAAAACTATTATTTAGAAAAAACCTTCAGAAATAGCAAGTTTAAGTTGTTATCATTCACATCAATTAATTAAAAACATGAAATTATAAATCAACTCTACAAATAAATACTACAAATATATTATTTAAATAAATGTACAATTGTCCACATATTACTGTCTGTCCTGGCACATTTGCATTAATTTTAACATAAAAAATGAATGCAATACACCGTTAAGAGGAGAAGCTGACAATGATCAAGGATGTGCTCTTTCATGGAATGGTATTATTTTATGTAGGGCTGGGTGATAAGGCAAAAATGCAATCTCAATAATTATTTTCCTTATTGAATGATAACAATATATATATATTTCAAGTTTTTAATGCTTCCAGATTTAAAAGAGTAACTTAAGGTACAAAAATTAGAGGGTCCATTAAACGGCATAGCATATTTTCGGCCGTTAAATTTTTGGTAGCCGAAAATTCGGTACATGGCTAATATTCACATTGTTGCACATTTCTGCTGGGTAAGTGGCTCTTATATCAGTGTACAGTAAAAATGTCCAGAGCTAATCATTTTTATTGACATAAAGTTTTATCACGATTCAATATAATATCGTTTATTGGCCCAGCCCTAATTTTATGCATGTTTTTGTATGATTTCTTGAGGACGACAAGCCTGCCCATATCAGGCCCTGTTGCATTTTTTTTGAAAATGTACGTTTCTGGTTGAATGTGCCTTTAAATCATTTTTGTTACGTACTAATTGTCGAACATCATGATTCACAAATGATTCTAATATGTTGATTTAAACAAATGGAAACCGTTGATACATTTTTCAGGATTCTTTTAAAAAATTAATTTTGTTTCAATATTTAATTAAATTAAAACTATTCAAATTTCATCACATCTGATCAACTAATAATGAATTATTGATGAATAAATCTATAAATTTCTTGCTGACCCCAAACTTTGAAGAGGTTTGCAGATAAAGATCTATAAAACATTTCTCCCCTCAGCTTGACTTTATTTGGACAAACGCAGAAAGCAGTCTGTGCCTGTACAGTATCTTTCCAGAGATCACAGGCCAACTATCACAACTGAAGGAATGGCCTATTTATCATTTTACAAAGAACGCATGAGCAACAATCTACAAAAATAGTTTCACCAAGGTATTTTAACTGAATCAAACAAGTAAAGAAATCCCCATAGTGGCAGCTGCATGCTTTCCCAACCATTGTTTTCTGTTATGCAAATTGCACCAAGTCCTGCATCTGACATCATCAGCCATTAAAACCCATAACATCGCTGGTTGAGATGGGACCAAATTGAGAAAGCTTTCTATGTGTGTTAGTTGACTGTATTCTAACCTTCTTTTGCGAGTACTTGCTGTATAGCCTGTCCAAGTTGTGCCTACTGTCTTGTATTACTACTAAGTATAAATAACAACACTTGAGGCTGATATTGTTGAGAAGTCAATCATGTTTGCACAGACAAACAAAAAAATCTTTTTTGTGTAAGACTTTTTCTGGTATGTTGTCTGCCATAGTTGCCTTATGTTCATACCAGTGCAACGCCATGCTCTTTAGACAAGAAAATGCATCATGTAAATATCAATACTACTGTATGTAGCGGAGTATCACTACTGTATTTAGCAAGACGATGCATTCACTGTCTAGTTATACAGATCGTTTTCATAATGATTCAACAGTATCTGCCTTTAGCCAGTAATTGTAAGTTTGTCTGTGTGTTTCAGGGGTGATGTAACATGCTAAATAAAGAGGCTTCTATATCAAAGCCCAAAGTATACTGCGTATTTTAGTGTACAACAGTCTTTCAACATATTCATCAACACACATCATGCTTAATAGAAAGATTTGTCGATGTCTAATGTCTACACTCAGAATTAACATGCTGCAATTTAAGAAAACGGCTGCAAATTATTATAAGATCTTCAGTGGTTTGACAGCAAATGTTGCAAATTCTCACAAAGCAAACAAATTATGAAAATGTGCTGCGAATTCTCTCAACACAAGCAAATTAATAAAACATGGTGCATATTCTCACAACACATGCAGACAGCACGAAACACTACGAAAATGTTTCAAGGGGACAAAACAAAATTGCTGCCTCAACACAGTCAGGCTGAGCATGTTGCCATGATAAAATGTCATCATTTAAAGACTTTTACCCTGATTGCCTTCCAAACTAGAACATTTTGACTGAGTGTGTCTTGCACTGTACACATACCATAGTGCACGTAAAAACCAAAGCATACTTTGGGCTTTACTAAGGCCCAATCCCAATTCTATTTTTGTATTCCTTCCCCTTCTCATACTTCATATGACATCAGACGATGGCGACTGCTGTAGTTATTCCAGTTGTGTTATTTTTTGGTATTTATCTTCAGGAAATCACTGAAGGCATATATTATGTTATCATAACGATCTAATGTGGCAATAAGATCGTAACTGTACTCTGTATTTACACAGTGGCCATATTCATCTATGTAAATACACAAAAACAACACTAAAGCCTCCTTTCTACTGCACAATACAAACGACATGCGACAGACTTCAGGACATTCATTTCCAATGGAGAGCAGTCCGGGAGCTGCGTTGAGTTCCGATCATCTACGCATGCGGAAAATTCAGATCTGAATTGAGCTGCTGATCCGTTTAAATATTTGAACTCCTGCGACTAGAGCGTATGCGACCTGTCGACCGGATATCATGTATTCCAGTGTTGTCCGTGCACTCAAGATGAGAAATAGGAGTTTATTTGGTTATTTTTTGAATTATAAAAAGTCTATATTAAAAATATATATATGTATAATAATTGATATAATAAAAATATAATAACATAAATGTAAGTAAGAAAGTAATAAAAAATATATATTTTTAATGTTGTCTCCATATTCCCTCCAATATTTTAGCGGTCTATGAGTTTCTAGTATTCATTCATCCATTAAACTATGTAAACGCACAGAGAATAAAGGCTCTTGCTTTTGCCCTCCTTTATTTCGGACACCGTGAGAATCAGCTTCTCCCCCGTGGTGCACGACAACACTGAAAATACTGTGCGGCTGCCACAAGGGGGCATATTCCGACAGTCGTGTCCAAATGTCGTGTGCATTGGAAAGGCGACTTTACATTATAGCAGACACGGTAAAAAGCTCATTCTCAGCCACTAGACTTTTCTGACAGGGTATTCGAGTGTAGAGTGGCGGTAAAATACAAGCGCGGTTATGAATATATTAAAACATGTTTGTTTGTCATAAAAATTCAGAATAATGACAAAAAAATACTAATTTGTGGATCTCCTTCTGGGTTCAGCAATACTGCCGTTGTGGCTGGTGTATTCTGGGAAATTTTCTTACCCCTTGGTTTTGAGTGTAGTTCTGAAAAAATCTTTGTTCGAAGGGCTATTCACCCCTTCCCCTTAGCCCTACGCCTTTAAGCTAAAGAGAAATGGGACACCCCTACCCCTTGTTGTGAATGCGCAAAACGAGGGGTAGGGTTAAGGGCTAAGGGGTAGAATTGGGATTGGGCCTAAATGATATGGTACAGCACTGTAATTTTAAGAATGAACATGTACAGTGTTATGTGTCTAAAGAAACAGCTGTTCATAATTTGTATTATGTAGGCATGTGTGTCTATGCATTTCTGCAGGAGTACAAATAAAGTCTAAATATTAAACTGAGGATTGTGTAGGCATTTGCCTAAGGTGCAGATGTAGGTTTCGGAGCACATTGATTCTTGTGTGTTTGATTCGAAGCCTGGCACATCTGTCTGACTGCAGAACTGAGCTTGTGCTGCTTCACTTCTACAGTTTTAAACAGAGCTCAAAACACATCCATCTCCAAGGCGACTGTGAGAGATAAGCCCCATTAATTATTGTGTAGCTCCTTCATTCTCTATGCATCTGTCTTTCTTTTTCTCTCCTCTTTCTGACTTTCTCTCATTCCACATGTACTGTATTGCTTATTGTTTATGTTAGTAAATACATTAACTAGCATTAATACAATCTTATTGTAAGTATTACAGACTCAGTAAAGAACCCCAGACTTTCCTCTCTCCAGACACATCCTCCAGCTCCTCTGGAAGGATTCCAGGGCATTCCCAGCCAAGCAGAGAGTCGAAGTGCCTCCAGTGTGTCCTGGGCCTCCCTGTGATCTCCTCCTAGTGGGATATGTCTGGAACACCTCCCTAGGTAGATGTCCAGGAGACTTTTTAAAGAA